TGGAAGCTGGGAACTGGCGACTTTGTAGTACAACTTGAGCACGCGGACTCTCTGGGGAGCTGGAAGACGAGAACTGGCAACTTTCTAGTACAACTTTAGTACACGGAGCAATCTGTGGAGCTGGAAGCTGGGAACTGGCGACTTTGTAGTACAACTTTAGTACGCGGAGTATCTGGGGAGCTGGAAGATGAGAACTGGCGAAGTTGTAGAACAACTTTAGTACGCGGAGCATATGGGCAGCTGGAAGATGAGAACTGGTGACTTTGTAGTACAACTGTAGTACGTGGAGCAGTCTGTGGAGCTGGAACCTGAGAACTGGCGACTTTGTAGTACAACTTTAGTACGCGGAGTATCTGGAGAGCTGGAAAATGAGAACTGGCGACTTTGTCGTACAACTTTAGTACGCGGAGTATCTGGGGAGCTGGAAGATGAGAACTGGCGACTTTGTAGTACAACTTTAGTACGCGGAGTATCTGGGGAGCTGGAAGATGAGAACTGGCGACTTTGTAGTACAACTTTAGCACGCCGAGCAATCTGTGGAGCTGGAAGCTGGGAACTGGTGACTTTGCAGTGCAACTTTAGTACGCGGATGAGTCATCTCTCGCGGCTGAGTCATCTCTCGCAGCTGCTCTGGCGCCCCTGCAGCTGAGTCATGTCTCCCGACCACCCGGCTCTCTTAAAAGGTTGACACACACACACAGAGACCCACGCACTGCCTCAACTTACTCGGAGACACACACACAGACAGAGACTCATACACACACAGACATAGATACACACACACACACAGAGACCCACACACTGCCTCAACTCACTCGACTTAACACTTCACACTGAACACTTAACAGATCACTCACACTCTGACTTCCTACGTGATGAAAAATGTTTTCGGGCCACTCGTCGTCTAGTTTGGATTTTAACTCCACCCTTGGCTACCCTATGAAGGCCCTTGATCTCACAATTTTGTTCTATAGGTTGTTTTCCCTCCTAACCTCATTTGCGGACGCAGCTGGGGCGGTAAGTGCAAGCTAGGGGCGCCTTCAGATGACAGCAGCGTGCTGGACGCCGCTGCGACCATAAATACTTACATACAGTAATGAAGCTCAGTAAATCAAATCCTCCTGATTTGGACGTGCTCAACACGGCGCCTCTTCACCATTGACAAGCCGCGTTGCCACCTCTCAGAAACCAGACGGGCCATCCTTGGGGGATCCTTGCGGCAGATGCGCGATGGCCCAGAGAATTGCTGAGTGCGCGAAGACATGTAGGTTTCCCGCATGGGATGAGGATTTCCATTGACCATGTCCTGCTCAGGACCTTGGGCCGAAAACGGGGTTCGGGGCTGCCATGCACCAACCAGTCTAACAAAGTCGAGCCTCGCGAAACCATCTGGGGCACCGTCTTGACAAGGAGTTCGCCACGGTGAACAAAAAAATCGTTGACAGTCGCCATTCAAGACTGGGAGGGGCGTTCCTCCCCATTGATCTTACAGAATCGGCCGCACTCATGGGACACAGGTGGCTGTCAGCACTTTCATGACAAACCCTCACTGGCTTGGGGGCGCGAACAGGTGAGGAACGCACTCTTAAAAGAAGCACCTCACCGGGTCCACGCGGCAGGACAAGGGGTGCAGGATGGCGTCACACGAGGCAAAAAAGGCTAGAAAACTGGGCGGGTACATTCCAGGCATTGAAGGGGTGTCGCTTTGTGCTCAAGCTACCACCTCTTCCCGTGAGCGCCGAGTTCCTTGCTTCAAGCCTGCATGTTTTTGTTCCACTGGCTTCACTTGAGGCCAAAACAAGGCCGCGCCACTGTCACACAAGCAAAAAATGTTGGCTAGAAAAAAGGGTGGAGCCTCCATGCGGGAGCTTAACTCTGGAAAGTGGTCCTTTCGTCCTCCTGCTATGCTTGTGAGCCCGGCGTCCTGAAAAGCAACTCTTACCCCTGTCCTGTTGTCCTCTTCTTGACCTCCAGTTGTCCTCCTGTTGAGCTCTGGCCACGCTGGCGAACCCGTGGCCTCCACTTGTTCTCCAACCAAGTTAGCTGCTTCGGTTCTTGTCCAGGCCTTGTCTGAGTCTGTGTGTCTGGCTTGGCCACGCCGTAGGCCTGTTGTCTGCCTTGTCCCGGCCTTACCCTCTGCTTGGCCACCCTTTTTCTCCGCGGCCTGTTTTCGTGTGGCTATGAATGCAACAGTGATGCAGCATGTGATATCATCCTCGGATTTTCTCGTGATAACATTTATCCGCCAAAAAAGGCTGAAACTGTTTGGGGTCTATGCTGGCATAATTCACGGCATTCTTGCGAACGGAAGGCCAAAGTATCCAACAGTATATTCCAACTTCGCTATAATTATTGCTGCTGTTGTGCACAGGGTTGGCGCTGGAGCTACCATCTTAATTTATAGCACTGTTATTTCTAAATTTCTATCTGCCAGTCGTGCAGGCGCGCAAAGCAACAGAGTGGTGAAAGTGTGACCAAGGCGGTAAAAGAACAAGTCGCCATGGGCATTGACGCAGGGGGGCCAGGGGTAAGAAGGCATCTCACCGGCGCCCCAGCCCCCGACTTCGAGGTCGAGGACAACGAGGCCACCAGGCCAGGAGCCCCTAGTAGCGCCCTTGTTCCTAGTAGCGATGTCCTTTGCTCCCAGAGGCATTTTCCAAATAGATATGCTGTTTGTCCAGGCAGGCGGTGAGCCCGCACGCTGCAGCGGTCAAACTCGCATGGCATCAACCGAGGAGTTGCGTGAAGTGGTTGTTTTCATTGCTGGATAGTTGTAGTTTCTGACCCTTGGTGAAAGAATGTTTTTCAGGTTGCAAGTTGTGCGATATGTGCTGATGTGGCTCGGGAAAAGTGACCAAGAGAGTGAAATCTGCATCCAATTTCAGAACGCGCCAGGGTGGAGTTCCTGAGAAAACAGGTTTTGAGTCCAAAAACAACTCCGGCTAGCAAGAGCCGTACTACTAGGAACAAGGGCTCCTGGCATCGCTACTAGGAACAAGGACGCTACTCCTGGCCTTACTACTAGGAACAAGGACGCTACTAGGAGCCAGCTTTGGTGAAAAGCTTGACGGCCAAAGATCGAAGTCGGCTGAAGGAGCGCACCTGCTATACATGCTCGGATCCGTCTGGCCGCTCCGACCAAGATAAACCCTGGTGACTGGACAAAGCCGGCTATCCTGCAAAGAGCGTGAGCGCATCGTAAATTTGTTGGAAGGGCAAGAGGCTCTGGCATGCTGGTGTTGCGTGTGTACTGCAGGCTGTTCAGACCAAACAGAGCGCGGCGGCTACACGTTGCCGTCGGAACCGGTTCCAGGAGGCTGCGCTGCGCATTGAGGGCCACACCATTTTGGCCTTTCTCTCGTGCGCAACATCCCTTCCCTCTCTCCTGGAGGACCGCTGGTGGGGACACCTCTGAGCGGTGTTGGAGGTCCTCCGTGAAGTCACCAAGGACTGGCACTCATGATAGGTTGCGGCAACAGTAACCACTGAAGAGGCAAGGAGCTGCAACACTGTCTGCTGGTTGGCTAAACGCCCCTAGTAGCGCCCTTGCTCCTAGTAGCGATGCCCTTTGCTCCTAGTAGCGTCCTTGCTCCTAGTAGCGATGCCAGGAGCCCCTAGTAACCCTAGTAGCGCCCTTGCTCCTAGTAGCGTCCTTGCTCCCAGTAGCGATGCCAGGAGCCCCTAGTAGCGCCCTTTGCTCCTGCTAAATTCATGCAGGCCAAAAAGGATGGAATGACATCAGTTGCGCCAGAGTGTTGATGGGGTGCGGTGCCCGTCTGGCTGCGATCGGGTTGGTGGGTAGGACAGCCAGTTCTTGGCTTCAGGCGTTAAGCAGAATTTCTCGAAAGTTCCAAAGTGTCTTTATTGACAAAGTGGAGTAAGTGCAAAGAAGAACGACATATTTAAAAAAAATAGTAATAAATAAAAGTCGAGTAAGTGCAAAGAAGAACGACATATTTAAAAAAAATAGTAATAAATAAAATGAAGACAATAGCGTCCTATGTTCATATCATTTTTTCTGGATTTAGGACTTCTTTAATTGGTGAACTGGGCTGGCCGGGCTGGAGTCCCACATCATGCATAGAAGAGAAACAGAACATAACAGAACAAATGTTATGTTGCATGAGTTTGTGCAATAAAGAGGCAGAAAGTTGTGGAAACTGCCTCGTCATGCCGTCACCAGTACCTCCTATTCTTGTCTACAATAAACCTACGTAAAGGCAGCTGACGTGCAATAGCAGGAGGCTGGAGGCTGGGGGTGGTCAATGCAACACAAGTCAAACAAGCAGGTTCAGCAAACATCCCGGCCGGGAACAAACCCAACAAGGACCCACAAGAAAGTATGCATGTTTTACCAGCACCTAGTCAGCTAAATCCAACGCTGCACAGACCATTGCTGGCTCAAAACCCTCCGCAATTTGCTGGCCAGACAAACACCCTTCTTCAGAGCAAAAGGAAAACACCGAGAAAATAGACAATGCCCAGGAACGCATGCTCGAAATAGAGGCTCAGGCGAACAAATGCAAGTTGGGTTGCAGTTGCGGAGACCAAAGCTATATTCAAAAGTTGAACTGGGATGTCGCCAAATGCGACACAAAGTGTCAAGGGTCATTGCGACGCAACGGTCTTGAGTCTTCAGATCCATTCTTTTGCGTGCCAGGTGCCAGGCAGGGCATCTTTTATACCATGTTGTGCAATAGGCTGGGTCAAGGGCACTGTTTCGTGGTGCTCTTGATGTATGAGTTGGAGTCGCTCTCAGGCCATTGTTAAGGGCTGGTTCTTTGAGGGCAAGGCTCGGCCTCCACAGTTTGTTTTCAGGAGCGTCTACTGATATGTGTCTAGTCTATTGCATCACTGCTGCCCAATGTGAGCACTGAGTCAAAAGCCTAGTCTTGCTGCGGGACCCGTCCGGCAGCGAACGCTTATTTCTGCTCAGGATGAGGCATCGGTCGGAGTGGTACTTTGACCATACACACTGCAGCAGCCCTCCTGGTTTGTTGTTGAAGAGTCAACTTACTGTCAGATTGATTCTGCCCACACTGCAGCTTCGTTCAATGCTTTGTTAGTTGCTTGCGTTTTCTGATGCAGTAAGCTGACTTCTCAACCTGACTGGGCGCTCACAGTTCTACGCCGACAGCGCGTCGGCGTTTTTGCTTCTTCCAGGGTGCTTGCTCCTCCAAAATGTGGTCTTCAAAATAACCATGGTTGATAAAGGATCGAAAAACCATGTTTGCCTTGAAGTGCTCTTGATGGTTTAATGTCTAAACCTTGGTTGTTGGTGGTGCTGTCATTTCAACAGCAAGGAAGACTCCTCGGCATCCTCCTCCCCACCCAGTAGCAGCATGGAGTAGGCCATGAGTCGCCGTTCCTGAGCTTCGTCCTAGCAGAAAAAGAACTCAGACACCTGACTTGCTCAAATCATCAGATAATATCCTATGTGTCCAACATGTGAAGTAGCAGTCCCCAAGGTCCTCTGGCGTAGCATTTGGAGTCCGCGGAGTCATCGGGGCCATGGGCACAGCTGGGCTCGCCGGCGGTGCACCAACCGGGGGAGGCGCTGGTGGCGGAGGTGGGGCCATGGGGGAAGACTCCAGTGACTGAGTTTCCTTTTGTAGGAGCTGCTTGATCTCGAGCAGTTTTTTCTCCTGCTCACTTTGTGAGATGACAGGTGTCATCGGAGTCATTGGAGTCGTTGGCGCTGGTGGGTATTTTGCAATTGCCTTCTTGGGTGCAACCAATCTGCGCCTTTTAGGCACCGGCTTTGGCACCGCTTTGGGTTGGCTTAGTACTTCAACTGAAAGTGCCGAATCTTGAGGTGCCAAATACGGATCCACCAAGACTTTCAGTGTGGCTTCCTCATCTTCATGAGACTCCTGTCTCAGATCAGACGGCGATGGTCTTCTCCTTGGATCGCGAGCTGTATCTGGCTGAGCTACAGCAGTTACATGTGCAGCACCTGCCGAAGCTGCAGCGGGCGGTTTCGCATCGTCCTTGTCCAGGTCTTCAACCAACTCCAGTTTGACAGCCAAAGAACTTTGTGCTGCCAGCGTCTTTGGTTTCACTGTTTGCTTTGGCTGCTTCTTGGCCTCAAGTTCTTGCTGCCTCTTCTCTCGCTCATCTTTTTCTCGCTGTGCTTTTTTCTGCTCCTTATCCCTCATCTCCTTGTCTCTTTGTTCCTTCTCTGCGCGCGCTTTCTCTTCTTCCACTTTCTGCTGCTCAATGTTTGTTGGCGGCTTGTCCATCTTGTCCCTCTTCTTACTCGCATCTGTTCGCTCCTCGACAAGCCGAGCGCAGCTGTGGGTCCAGAATGGGCTATATTTAAACTTCTCTTGACTTCTCTTGCTTTCCGTTCCTGGTGGCCCTTTCGAAAGCAGGACGAAACTGAACTTGCCCTCCCAAAACCTCGGTTCAACCTATGTCGCGCAACGCATTGCATTCCACTCCTTGGCCATCCGTTGTGTGCCCGAACTGCCACCTTGGTCAGAGAGGGTGGCATTTCATGATGGACAATGATGATCATAATGATCATAGTCTTGTCGCACCCAATATGCCACACAAAACTTCGAAAGAATATCAATCCAGAGTTTAGAATCAATCGCAAAGGAACACTAAAACAATGAGCCAGCAAATCCGTCAACCCCGATCTTTCGCAAAATGAACCATTGCATGCTCTCTGGAATTGGAAGCAACGCTTGGTGCAATTGTGTTCTTTAAGAAAGCAAGTGTCTAGGCAAGTCAATTTGCCAGGGCAAGGCTACGTTCTGCATCATGCTAGAATCGAATCATCTACTAAGGGCCATCGCTGATCCATGAACAAGCACGCCCTCACAACACTTCGACATGGAGGGATTCTGGTGGGACAGTCAGAGGTCCTGAGTGCACCACCATTGCTGCCACCCTGCAAAGCAAGCATCAAGAAACAGGCTTGCCATGCTTTTGCTGTGGCTCCTCCTTTAATTTTGTCCGTGTGCCCTTAGATGAGGTCAATCTCATTATCGGACAAAAAACATGCCTCCAACTGCAAAAGCAGCTTGTCAAACTCCTCCATCTCATCCTGCACAAAACTATTCACAAGTTTGGTCGAAAGTGAGACTTAGGGATCTGTGTCTTCGAATGCACTATATGGTCGCATAGCTTGATCTGGGCAAAACGTTCCAAGCAGAACTGTCCACCAAGGGTGGCGGTGGAAGAACTTTTACTGGAGCTGCTCGAGCTATGGGCATCCTGAGCTTTTTTCAAAATTCAATTACAGTACAATCAGGAAATTTAAAGAATCACTCCAAATTCATGAGCACACGAGCAAACACTCTCATTGATGACTCATTCGCTAGCTCATGTCTGGGCAATTGGCAAAGGTGCACCTGAAAGAAAGGAAGGATGGAACACTTACTCTTTGCTTTTAGATTTCCTATGTTGCATTCGGCACCTAAAATGTCTTCTTCCACACCTGCAGCAGCAGGAGGGACAGCTTTTGCAAGTTTCTCTTTGGCTCTGGGTAATCAATAGCGGGTACAAAGCATCACTCTGAAAAACATGTGCAAATGTGAGAAAGCATCAGCATTGAACTCTTGCGAACCACCCTTCTTCCACCTTATCTAGTTCATATGCTTCTAAAATACTGGGGAGTCATTAACAGCGAATTGCCTCCCTCATCTCGACTGTGATCCATACTTTTTCAAAACAAGGATTGACTCACACGCTGAGCCTGCTGGCTCTTCTGGGGCTGGAAGTGCCAGTGGGATGTTTGGCACTGATTCTGAGCTTTCCCGTTTCTCCATGCCTGAGTGGAGGTTGAGAGTCTACACAATCGAGTTTCCCTGTGCACATCAAAGCTCTTTGCACATGCAGAAATGGACTTCTGGTTCAGCCTTCTGAACAGCACACTCCTTTTCCCACCGCGAGCCTTCGTAGCAGTCTTGTACAGATCCATTGTCATTCACACAGGCAGGCCACAGGTCATGAGCAAAATATTTTTAGAGACCCAAGTTACGTTTGTATGAAGTAGGTATTGGACACTGGATGTGTAGCTTCATTAACGATTGTCATGGCTGACAAAGACCTGTGGACTCAAAACGGACGCTTTTGTTGCTTCTGTCCTTCCTTATATGAGCACATGAGCCCCTCTAGCTCAAGAACTCCAGTCATTCGAAATGAAAGCTGCATGTTCACAGCCCATCACACTGGCTTGATCCTGAAATGCAGTCCGATCAGGCTGAACACAAAGCACTTCAGATCCTGGACCAGGTAGTAGAACACTCGAAGTCCTTCTGGATCCTTGGAAGCCTGCACATCTGCTAAGGAACCAATCTTGGATGTTGTGAAGGAAATGTGCTCTTTGCCGCAAACGACCTCGAGTTCCTGTCGACCAATGCGATCCGGGGCAGGCCAGTGATTGTCATCCTCCTTCAAGATCTCACTGTCCTCAATCATCTTCCTGAGCTCTTTCATGACTGCCGAAGTGACGTGCGCCTCCTTGCGGATCATGACATCATTTTTGTAATTTGAATTGTTTGCATAACGCAGTCGCCCGTCTGGTCGGAACTCAAACTCCAGGAATTCGTGCCCAAACTTGCCCTTGTGACCAACATAGTAGCGCACGTAGAAGTCTTCCTCCTCAGCCATGGCCAAATGCGTCCCGTAAAGCTTGGACTTCGGCTGAGCCAAGACTGCTTTCACTGCGGATGCACAAACATACAATCAGCACTTTAACTCCAATGCTTGTTTCGTCAACAATCCTGGATGATCCTGGATGATTTTGCAGCTTTCTGCAAGTTCTCTCTTCAATGTGAGACTAGTGTGAGCCTATTTTGTGCGTTGAAACAGGTCTCCAACTTGGAGGTACCCAGGCACCAGGAGTAGGGCCTTCCGATGCGACGGCCTCAATCAAGTCATATCCATTCCCTACTTTGCCAAACATGACTCTGTGTTTTAAGCTTTTAGTAGCTTGTTACTAGCAGTAAGGCCAGGAGCCCCTAGTAGCGTCCTTGCTCCCAGTAGCGATGTCAGGAGCCCCTAGCTTCTGGCTCCTGGGACCTAGGACTCTGTGCTTTAAGAATTTATCTCTGTGCAATTGTTTCTCTTTCCACATATGTTTCAAAGCCCTGACAATATCATCCAGCACGAAGTCCGCTCCAGGCGCTGTGCCGATCGGGGAACTTCCGGTGGAACCCATCCAGGAGCAGCTTGCGCCCAGTAAACGGCCTTGCTGAAACTGACATGTGCTGTCGGCCTTGACGCTGCAACACTCTAGAGGTTTATCAAAACAAGCCGCTGAAAGATCGAATTGTCCGTTGTCAATGAGAAGAATATCGAGTACCGGCAATCCAGGAGCAGAATCAGGTCTATCGTTCAGCATCCGGACATAGTTTGCAAACAGGAGCCAGTGCCAGCGCTCTTTTGTTCTACCCTACGTGTCAAGAAGCCAAAGCAGCTTGCAAAACATGTCCAAAAGCATCTTTACTGTGCTACATTACAGCCCAGCACCCCAAAATAGCACGGACTGGACCAACTCCAGTCAAATAGCAGTCCCCCGTGTTTCCTTTTCCAACCTTCAACAAACAGATTCCCGGGCGTCATGCCCGTTGAATAGGTGAAACTGATTTAGGCTTGCCGGTGGCCCGGTGTTGCTGGTGCTGGTCGTGCTAGCGGGGGGAGGAAGCGAGAGGGCGGTCCTATTGATTTATCACTACCAGGCCCCCAAATCAATCATTAATCACTGCGGAGCACCTAGAATTGCTGTTTGGTCCGGAACAGGCAGTTCAAGCTACCCCTTTGCTTCGCAAAGCAAACTCAAGGTAGCCCTTACCAGGATAGGTTTTGTAATTGGTGTTGCTGGATCCTTAAAAACTGTGGACTGTTGATATGTGTTTGTTCTTGTTCAGTCTATTGGTGGGTTTAGTTGAGAGTTCAAGGATTCTGCTTGCCGATGCCTAAATAGAATGACACCAGCATCGACCCCCAAACAGCATGTGTTCAGTTGCTCGCAACAGCGAGTGCTTTCAAAAATCGCAGATTACATGCCGCGAGACGTTTAAATGATTTTCGCGAACACATGTTGTAACTACATTTTTCAAAAGAGAGTGGGGGACTGTGAGAGTGCAGTTTTTTTTTGTGCTTAAAAAAGTGTTTGGTATCATTTGATGCTCGAGATATGCAAAGATCCTTGTTTTCACTCTAGGGCAGAAGATACCACTCTACTCTAGCATGGGGCCTGGGTGTTGGTTTTCCCAAAATTTTAGGTAAATGCTTCAGTCGTAGCCCCTCTCCATATAAACACGTATATATATAATCTATTCCTGCTCTCTCTATATGAACAAATATATTATGTATTCCTGAATCAGGGTCATTTATTGTTTTGGAAGCAGCAAGCAGTCATTCAGATGGTTTTGAACAAAATAATTAGGAAAGAAGCAGGCCATAAAAGTGTCTCTAGATCGCTGCTTATAATTATGTTTAGATTTGGAAAAATTTAATATAAACGCTTTTATGTTACAAAAGATTCTCTATAGATTTCTCGGATAATCATGTTTAGATTTAAACAAGTATATAGAAACCGTGTATGTTAAAAGCGTTATTCTAGATTTCTGCGGGTAAGAGCTTGCATTTTCAAAGTTTTCCTCTGGATCTCCGGGCAAGTAGATATCCCATATATGTGTGTTTTCATGAAATGAAAGCTCTTGAAAGAAAAACATATTTATATATAGCATGTTTAAATTGGCATGACCATTTCCAGAGATCCAGAGGAAAGCTTTTGAAATGAATTTTTTTATATATTTCTATTGTAGAAATGATCATCCCCAGAGATCTAGAGGGAAGCTCTTGAACTAGAAGCTTGTACATAAGACAATTTTAATATGTCTAAAGTATTTCCAGCGATTACTGTAAATAAACAAAATACAACTATTTATTTCAAAAAAATAGTCTTGTTCCCAGCACTCCCAGGGCAAAAAAAATACTGTAAAACACGGAATTTTCTAGCATGTGTTTTCTTAAACTAAATTGACTGGAGCTAGAATAGAATTAGGTAGAATTAAATTGGATTTGATTTAGAGCTAAGATAGAACTGAATTAAAACCGAATTTCAATTAAACTTGTATTGAACTATAACTATAACCTACTTAAAATCAGATGAGAGTTGAATTAGGAAGGAATTGGAATTAAAATTGGAAGTTCGCCAGAATAAGATGTAAAACGCTTGAGCTACAAGATGCACAAGTCGAGGAGGCTTCGAAATTACGAAGCCGAAGCAAAAGCAACAAGCATTGAATTAGAACTACAGCTTACACAGATTCATAACAAGTTCATGTAAACTGGAAGGTATCAGTACAGTTTCATGTCAAGCTGATTGGACATGCAATTGGCAACCACATTGATACCAATCAGAAGTTAATGCACAGGCTTGTACATGGAGATTTCGACAAGGACAAAGGGAGTGGTGGGCTCAGACGCTTTCATTGTAAGAGCAAAGAACATATGCCTTTAGGTGAGACTTAGGCTCACATATTTGAAGGTTGAACGAAATAGTAAGAACACAGATTGACCTAAATAGGAAAACAATAAGCAAAAAAAACCTTGAGAAAACCAATAACAACCTAGGAAAAGCCCAAAAAGAATAAACTTGGGAAAACAAAAAACAAAAAAACAAACAAAAAAACAATTCTGGGGAAGTCTTGAGGAAAGGGGGTGGTCCAGCCAAGAGTCTCTGAGAATTGTTTTTTGTCTTTATTGTTCTTGTTTGTTTTCCCAAGGTTTTTTTACCTGTTTTTTAAAGTCTTTTTTGTTAGTTTCAATGTTCTTTTGTGTTATCTATATTTTCTCGAGACCGTTTGTGTTTGTTTTCCAGTGCAAAGGACATTGAGGCAGCTTTCACAGACACATAGCATAAATGCAGGCCACAGTGGGAAGTTTATAGCACATAGATGGAAGTAGGCAGCAAACACACATAAAATACGCATTCTGGTGGTCCCTTGTTTTGCTTCAAAATTCATCTGCGCAGTCATACTTCGAGTACAAGCGCGTTCTTACAAACAAGACACTGTGCTTTTTCGCAACATCCTGTTGCACGCTGCCTGCATTTTCAGAAGCACCTGGTCTTTCCACAGTCATGAACCTGGCCTTTCAAGGGCACGCTACGCGTTGCAGAATTTAATCTGTCTATTTGGAGCAATACAAGCACTCCTGACTTCCACAGTCACACTCTGTCTTTTCCTGTGTGCTGCTTTGCGACTGGTACATGCGTGCGCTTTCAGAAACATCCCAGGGTCAAAACTTGGCGCTTCCAAAAGGGATTGACATGTTTTCCGGGAATGTTTTTCAGATTTTTTCCGGAAATTGTTTCACGTTTTTTCCCCTACTGATTTGCTTTTGCTTCTGCTGGGAGTGCTTTACAAGCACTAGGAGCAGCAGAAAGGGCAGGGGACGAAGCACCAAAGCCAGCGTGACAGTGACAAAGGGAGGGAACAGAAAAGGTATTCCACTTACTAGGGGTTTCTTTGCGGTTGTCTTTAGCTTCACTCACTGGTTTCGGGTTTCTTTGGGCTCGGTTTCTTGTCTTTAGGGTTTCTTTAGGCGTTCTTCCGGAAAAGGCATCCCACTTAACGAAGGAGAAGTAGGAGGAGAGAGGAACTATAATAGGGACTTTTCTGCGGTTGTCTTTGGGTTTCAGTGGTTTCGGGTTTCTTTGGGCTAAGCAAAGTAGAAATCCACCTTGCGTCAACGCAAAGAAAATAGTAGTTGCGTTAACTGTGGTAAGACTCGTAGCGGGGTGGTCCGAGTGATAGAGGTATTGGAAATAGTAGGGGTGGTGGACGGTAGTGGCAACTATAAAAGATAAAAGCGGAGTGGGTGCGGGGGAGGGCGCAGCGCCTCCCCCGCAATGCAAATCAAATATAGACAGCGCTGGGCTGCTTCGTTTCTTGATTGCTGTAATTGGGTGTCAAAGCTCAAGGTGAAGGTCTTATCATCCAACTTTGTGGCAGTGTCAATGCAAAGAAGATAGTCAGCAGAAGCAAAAGCAAAGGCAGAAGCAAAAAGCAAAAGCAAAAGTAGAAGGAAAAGCAAAAAGCAAAAGCAAATGCAGAAGCAAAGGCCAAAAGCAAAAAGCAAAAGCAAACGCAAAAGCAGAAGCAAAAAGCAGAAGCAAAAGCAAAAACAATAAGCAAAAGCAGTAGGGGAAAAAACGCCAAAAAAAAATCCCGGAAAAAAATCTGAAAAAAAAAACGGAAAAATAGGGGTTCCTTCCAAAAGCATTCAGAAAACCGTTTGCGCGTTTCGAGCTACACAAGCGCACGTTATCAGAAACATGCCAGGCTTGTGCGACATGAAAACAAACGAAAGTTCACCCACCCACCGGGCGTGCTCTCATGATCATCCGGCGATCATGGTTTCACTGAAAAGAATTCAACTAATCTGACCCACACGGCATTGGGCAGACTACACCGCAGACAAGGGGGAAGTGATGTCAAGAAGTGAGGAAATCGTGTTGTGAAAGGTTGATAGGGAGGAAACTAGAAAGGAGACACGCCGCAAAGAGTATGATTTGTTCCATTCGAGACAAAGGGTGACAAAGCCGAATCATCTCAGCAGAGGATTCAGAAGACCCATTGGAGAGCTGCGGAACTTGCTCTGGAACCTGCTCCGGCACCTGCTCCAATACGCTTTCTCATCAATGAAAAACGGGGAGGGAATCCAGGGCAGCCCCCCTGATCGATCAATCAATAACAAGCCTCCTGCAGCTGCCCCCTTGCTTCGCAAAACAAAACTCAATTACCTTTCATGATCATCTTGCCGGACCATCTGTATACTTCTCCCAAGCCAAGCTCACTGCTGGTGATGGCAAGCCATATCTCGATGCTCCCCAATTCCTCAATGCGGTCCATTCACGAGTGGGCCATCACATAATCATGCACAGTCCGGATGCGCACTTCGTCGGTATCTTTGAAATGACACTAGCTCACTTCGTATTTCCGCTTTCCTCACTTCGGCACTGAGAGTGTCACCCGGGCGCAGCCTCAGGATCCTGCCGGCTTCTGCCCTCAGTCTTGAGAAACTCTGACAGATTTGCTGCATACCAGATAGGTCTATGTCTATTTCTATCTGTTGTCCATTTTGTCTGCGCAGCTTGCCACTTCAAGCTGCCTCAAGACGGTGCCTCCAAACAGTGCTAAGCTCTTCACTCGGCCACGACTCCCACTGCGGCTGCCTCTTCTGCCTAGTATACTCAGTGGAAACCGCCTGTTACACTATGCTCAACAACAACCAGCACAATGAGCCAAAGCCATTGGCATTGGCGGTGAAATTGGTTGGTCGCAAAAGATTTGACAAACAGGCCCTTGGCCTGACACTCGAGCCTTGGGCGCGCAGAAGCGAACCAGCTGGAAGGAGGGTTGGGGGATAGGAACGGTTGAAACATCCTGTTCCGTCAGAGTCAAAGAGCGCAAGGGCTCTTGAAGGGACTTCCGTTCTTGAGTTGTTCATACGCTCACGCAAGTAGCACTTCAATGACAACAGAAACCTCTGTCCACTTCACTAACGATGACAGTCAAGTCCGTCGTCTTCCGAATCAATCGAGTCCCTGGCTGAGTCCAAGCGCTTCCTGGTCACTTGGAACCGCTGTTTCCAGAAGTCACGGTAGAGAGGGGAGAAATCTTCAGATTCTTCCACCAAACGCAGAGGTGCTGAAGCTGTGGCCAGAAACCAGACCCATCCTAAGTTGTCGCAAGTACCTTTTTTGGGGGGAACGGCGAACTGTCCTCTCGTAGCTCCGGCTGCGGCTGCGGCTCCGCCTTGACCCCACTCCATCACCTTGCAATCAAAGAAATATGACCGGGGAGCAAGAGACGGCACAATGGCATTGACCAGGGAAGAAGCCAAAAGAACAAGAGTGTAAACTAACGAACTGAGCACCCAGAGCTGCCATGAACACCCCCTTCTGTGGACCAAGGAAAAAATGCAAGTGGGTAACGTCTCCACACAGAGCTCTTGCCACTTCGTCGGGTATCCAACCAAACAATGCCTTGGTGAGCTGGAGGCTGCAGCAACAGCCCAGCTTCAGTGAGTTGTTTGCAAAGTTAATCCAATGGCTTCTAAACAAACCTTTATGGGTATCACGGTATCACCATACTTCACAAACTTCACTGCCCAGTGATCTGGGAAAATCACTGTCCTCATTACTTTTCTCAAAGTCCAGGTCGTAGTGGCCTTGAAGACTTAAGGCAACTGCAACTGACAATGGGATGAAAGGTCTCTGAACTTAAAAGCTTCAAGCTTCCAATAAGCTGCCAGCCACATGTAAAGCGACCTCCGGTAGACTTCACATCTAATCGGATTGGTGGACGACCTTGCCCATGTCCGCATTGCAAGGCTCGAATGGGTCACGTCCCAAGAATGTTGAGTTAAGTTTTGCTTGCACATCCCTCGAACCACACTGTGCGGCGCATCTCTGCATGCACAAGTCTGAATCCGTAAGGCAACCATATCTCTGCATTCATCCCGATTCATCCCTGCGCTGGATTTTCACAGCTCGAAAGCTGGGAATCGTGCAAGGCTACAAAGCGCACACTGCAGCACCCAGGGTGTTTTGTTCCAAGATTCGCAGCCATTCCATCTTTTTCACTTGGACTCACACTGCTACGTGGATTGGTCAGCACCACGCTGAGCCTGAGTTTCCATGAGAACAGCAATTGGCTGATTACTTGCATGTTGTGCATACATTGCCCAGACTGCCGCTTGCCCAGTTCAAGGATCTGGCTGCCCACCACGGCTTCCGGGTTTGGACCAGTCGACTTCGACATCATTCCCGAAGGAATCCTCTCATGATGGGTTTCTTGTGGAAAGACACCTACCGGCATCTAGAGTCTAGAGTACCCTATGTAGGAGGCCGTAGTGGGTTCCTCTTAAAGGACCAAAGTCTTGATGAAGCTTGAATTTACGCTACTAAGGAGCAAGGGACGCTACAGAAGGGTTGGGGGTCAGAAAAGAATGGTTGCGGGTCAAAAAAGAATGGTTGTGGGTCAAAAACAAAAGGTCGAGG